CTCCTCTGAATGCACCCCAGGAGACCATGGGCTTTCTTGGCCATGAGGGCATACGGCTGGCTTGTAGCTGACTTTCTCTGCATGACCTGAGTCGTGCTTAGCAAAGAGAAGGCTAGTGGGGTGTAATGATTACTCTTTTCTGCATGGTTTCCTTTTCTTCCATCTCTACAGTGATCAAGAAAAAAGCTATAGGTTTAAACTACAGCAAAGAACTTTATGGCTAGGTACTATGGTAAAATGTTCTGGTGACAGCATGGCTGCACTTTCTGCATTAGAAAGATAAAGAATTTCTATTGTTGGAGGCCTATAAGAACAAATTAGACTGTCTTCAGTGCAGTTGCTGTTGCCTTGCTGTTGCTGCTCTGTAGCATACAGACTTGCTGGATTTTAAGTTTAGAAGGTGACATGGAACATGTAAATCCTTCTTTAAATGACAAACGGGGATGCTTTTTTAGTGGTGCTATGCTTAAATAAATATGCAAGATTGAGGCTTTGGGTTAGCAACTATGCAAACATTTGGGCTTATTTAGCACTGGGTATTTCAGTTGTTTTATTTGTTAACATGTGGTTTGAACTGTAGGGATTCTAATTGCTGGATTTTGGCACTTGGGTTTGTTTTGTTTTGTTTCATCCTTTTCCATTCAGCTTACAGATAATGAAACGTCACCACGTATCTTCCAGTAAAATGGGAGAGGCCTCTGGTGGGGGATTGGGAAAAAAAAAGTCAAAATCACAAAATCAACAAGGGACTTCCAGCAAAAATAAGGGAACACGTGGAGAAGGAACAAAACAAGGTCAAAAAAGAAAGGTAATTGTTATTTTGTGTACTGGTTTGGGGGAGGGGGGTGGTTCCAGAACCAGTACATTTTGGATCAATGAAATTAGAAAAGCAACCAAAGAAAGAGAAGAAACATTTTTGCCAAGTTTTTACTGGAATTTATAGAGACTATTTCATTAGCTAAACCTAGTCCTCTTGAGGAAACGTCCAGTGAACAGCTCTTTGAGAGCCTTAGCTGCTCCCTGCTTTCCAGCATTGCTAGCTGGGTGCTGCTGTGCCTGCCACAGCTAGAGGGAAGCGTTGCCTGATCTTTCATACAACAGCAAGCTGGCTGGGCAGTCTTGAAGGGCTACCTAGCATCTGATTGAACCAGTGATAAAGTCACAGTTCATGCAGCTCGGGTGACATTTATTCAGTTCTGGAAAATATTCTCTGTCAAGCACTGACATTTAAAGGCTTTCACAGCTTTTGTGTAGTGAGTTGCTACTAGTTGGTGAATGGTTATGCAGCAGAGAATGAATGGTTGCATAGCACATCGTTTAAAATGACCAAGTTTTTGTGAATTTGAACTTGCTGTACATCTTTTCTCTTCAGCAAGTCACTCAGACAGCCAAAAGGAAAGCTGAGGAACACAGGGACTATCCTCCAGGTAGGATTGTGCTCTTTCCTTACACTTGTCTTGTGCAATTTCAGTGTTTTAGAAGAACACAGGAAGTAAATGTTACATTGAAATCACAGATGTCTGACATGTCATTAAAAGAAATTTCAAAGTTTTCTTTCTGAAAAGCAACAGCCAGTGTGCATCATATTATATGTGCTGTATATGCATGTATTAATTGTATGCTTTTGTTTACAGGTAGTATTTTCTTGTAAAATTCCACCACAAGCACCCAAAACATTTTAACTTTCACATCACAGGTTGTTGTCTTCTCTCTTAACCTTCTGTCTGAAGACTGGCATGTGTTGTATTGAACATACAAAAGAGATGAGGCTCCTGCTGCATTGAGTTTCTAGTTTATGTCTATTATCACACTTTTTAACAAAAATGTAATTGTGGAATTTCTTACTTGTATTACCAATGATTTTGGGAAAGTAAATGTTTAGAGTGAAACAGCTGTAAGAAATAACTTGGCCTGTTTTTGTGCTTTTTAAACAACCTGTGACATGCAGATGATAAGTATCACCTAACTGTTAAGTTTTTGTGAGCTGACTGAATTGAGTCACAAAGCTATCCAGGTTTGACAAATCATATCTTTTCCTTTTTTCCTTTGTGTTAACAGGAGAAAAAGCTTCTTCAAAAAGGGTGAAGCTAACCAGTTCTCAAACAGGATCTTGGCAGACTCTCTCAGAGAGCAGTAGGCAGTTCCTGGCGACAGTAATGGATTCAGTAATACTGTAAGTGCCAAATATCCTGGTTGTTCTTCCTTGTTTCCACAAGAAAGTAAGTAAAAATCATAACATTGCTCGAATTGGGAAAATTTTGGAGTTTTTTGGGGCAACATGGCTGGCTGTGTATATTTTATCTGATATATGATATGACACTTTCTATCCAAAGTTGGAGATTTTTGACTTGGGAAGTTCTGACTATGTTCATTTCACTTGATGTCTTCACTGTGCTTGCAGGCCTTGCGATGAAAATTCTGCCTTTTTCTTTCCAGATCTGTTCTGTGCCAACAAAATGAGAGAAAAGTTGATGTACAGAAGCACCTCAATGCACTGAAAGAAAGGTAAGGAATTATAGTTAAAACAAAAAAAGGGAGAGAAGGGATTTGATTTACCCAGTTGTTTTGTACCAGGCTTAGAGAATTGCCTCTGGGAGCAATCAGAGACTCTTACATATGTCTGAGTGAGAATTTTTGTGTGTGTGTGTGTTGGTGTACCAGGCTCTTATCAACATGGAAACATGGAGACTGAGACTTTTGGAAAATAATTCAAGGCAGGTTGTTTTTCTGTCAAGATCCTCTTACTTCACTGGCACCAACTGGGCTAAACTGAGTTTAGTTTTTCCCCAGATAAGTCATAAGTCAGTTTTCTTCTTGTTTTGCAAGAACTCCAAACAAATCATGCTTTCCTTTTTCTGAAATAAAGGATGATGAGCTTTTTCAAGACTTTAAAGGTGCCTCCAGGGAAGCTGGGCAACCTGAAGAATGTCCTGAGCCTTAAAATGGCAGAGAAAGAAAAGCTGGAGACAAACGAAGAGACTTTGGTAAAATTGCAGGTATGAAAGGGAAAAATTATCTTACCTGTCTGCTGCTGCTGCTCAGTGTGTTGTAACTTTTTAGTAGATGAACTGTTGCTCATGCCTGTGCTCTCATGGAGGGGTTGTCCACTGTTCATCACGGTCACCCACCTTGGCTACAAAGCAGTGTATCTCTTGGGATGTTTTGTCAGTGACTCAGCTGAGTGAGCTCCTCACCTCCAAAGTCAACTTTCCTCTGGTCTGTTTTGTGTCAGGAAGAAATCAATGAGGTTGAGCGATCAGCAGAACGCGTTGAAGGAACCACGCAGGAACTGCAGCACAGAATCCAGGTGCTCAAGAAGCAGTTAGAGGAAGATGAAAAAAAGGCCACAAAGGTATTTACAATAGGTGTGGGATCCTAGAGGAGTGGGGACTGGCTTCCAGAGCTATCCTGTACAAGCTGTTTCTGCACAGACCCTCATGTAAGGAAGCTGTTGTTTGCTTTGGGAATGTATCTTTTAGATCTTTCCAACTTCAGCTGCAAAATTCAGTTTAGTTTTCAGAAGTTGGATAATGACAGATTGTTTTCCTACTTGTGTGCCTGATGTTTCTTTTTGGATTACTTTTTTCCTTCTCTTTTTCACTTTCTAGATACTCCAGATAAATGACAGTGGAGTACTCCGCCTTCCAGAGCTCCCCAAGCGCAGTTTACAGGCACCCATTCTGCAGGTGAGCATGAAATGTTTTCAGAGGCACCTTAACTATGAGAAGGAAGGCAGCAGAATGTGTTTTATCACTTAACCTCTGAAAATACTGAAATATCAGAAAGTTTCTTTTTTTTCCCTTTCCTTCCCTCCCCCCTTCTCTTTCCTCTTATATTTAAAAAAAAAACACTGAAATCTCAGGAAACCTGCCATTTAATGGGTCATATGTCATTCCTAGGAACCCTGCATGAAAGTGAAATTTCCCTTGGACTCAACAAAAGTTGTCTTTATTTGTTGTCTATTATTCTTTCTTTCCTTCTTTAGGAAGAAATTTTGAAGATAAAAAATCAGAAAGGCCTTTTAAAGGATTTGAACGCTATTCAGCAGTCAGCTGACTTGAAGAACATGTTAACCCTCATTGAAAAGACCTATGAGAAGGTTGACTGCCTTTGAGAAACCCAAACACATGGAGCCACGTTTGAAGGAGATAACATAGGCCAGGACTCTGATAAGGCAGAGCAGCAGGATGCTGATCATGGAACCAGCCTTTTCTTCCTAGTGGCTTTGCTGTGGTGACTGCTGAATTTCTGTTAAACACTTTCTGTGAATATTGATATCTAAATCTGTAGGTGCATTCTGGGACTCTAGTCATTTAAGTGCTCAGTCAAGGTTTTGGGGTTTGGTTTTTCATTTTTGAATCTGTGAGGACTTCTAATGATATATAGTAGAAGAGAGGGAAATGGATCTTGGGTTTATTTGGGCATTTTTGTAGAGTAAGGCAACTTATTCCATTATATTTGGACTTGTATATCACACCTGTAAATAGCTGAAGGCAGTATCTCTTGCCAAATGAACTTTAGTTTTAGAGTTAGATACTCTTTAAACCTGAAACGTAGTAAAAATATGATTATCTAATGCTGAGTTGTAAATCCTCTGTTCAACTTTCTTACCATTTTTTAATAAAAAAACTCCATCACAAGAAATTAAAAACTTCTTATCAAATGTCCAGCATTTTTAAATACATTTTCATATTTATCACTCAAACCAGGTGTGTATGTCTTTGTTTTTATCCAGGTGGTTGGGGAAAGGAAATAAGAATATTAAAGAGCAAAGTTCTAATCTCAGAGTTATGTCCCCACTTGATTTCATTAATTGTCATATTCTTCAATTTAGAGGAATGAAAACTGAGTAAAAATTCTGTTTTTCTGGACCCTTTAATATCACCTCTATCTTTTCCTGTTCTAGAGCTTCTCCCTTTAAAGACTCAGTTGTTATGAAGTACTTTCTTCTGTCAAATTATCTGCTGGAAGGCAGCCAAGCTTTTCATCTCGACTCACCACAGAAACACTTGTTCTTTTGTTTACAAGCTGCTCTCTTAATGAGACATGAGCTAATTATCTGTCTGCTCCTTTGAGAGATTAAAAGCCTCTCTGTAGTTGCTACATGTAACATCAGGAACACCGGGCTAAGTAGTTGATTCATACTGAATCACAGGAAAAAAAGTATATAAATACTTTGAGAAATATTTCTCGGATTTTTAATCACTTGACAAGGGAAGCATTTACTGATTTAACCACTACCCCAAAGTAAAGTAATCCAGATTATGAGTTAATGATATTCTTGCAAGCCAACTATCTTAATTTTTGTTAAGATACACTCCTTTGCTTTCATTCAGACCAATCTACTGGTGAGCAATTTACTGTGTGGATTTTGAACTTCATGAACCACATAGACATTGTTGGTTTGTTTTTTTATTTAAGAAAAAAGGAAGTTTGGAAAGGGGCAGTAAGTAGGAGGTGGAGATCTACAGCTTCCATACAAGGCAAGCTGAAATATTAATAACTGAAGACTTACTCCTTCTTTATAGCTTCTGGGATTTCCACAGGAAAACCCTCTGACATCTCCAACTCCATCTGTCTGCTTTGGTTTAAGTCCTCAAGACTCTCTCCTAAGATAGCCTAAAAGAGTGAAGTTAAGAATGTGAAATGAAAACACTTCTTTGTAAAGTTTTTCTTTAATTCAGACTGCTCCTTGCAGTTTTCTCTGCATTTTAATATCCAATATAGGAAGAAATCTGTCTCCTTCCTACTGTGTGTCTCCTGGATGCTCAAGGTGCATATCTACAAATCTCTTTCTCTTCTACTCCTGGTAGAGCTAAACATACAAAGGCTGGATAAAAAATCTTTCTGATTTTAACTTCAGCACAAAGGTGTTTTATCACAAGTCTGAAGGGCTTGCTAGAAGTAATTTTAACAATTTCTATCAATAAATGACTCCATAGGCCTTGCAAATGCTCCTGGGGGTAGAAATAAGTCTCATTGTTTTCACATCACTCTATAATTCTCTAAAAATTTTGCAGACAGAAGCAGTGACTTATCCATGTTGACTCTCAGCCACAGAGTGGTTTGGGTTGGAAAGGAACTTAAAGATCACCTAGTTCCCACCTCTGCCACAAGCAGGACACCTCCCACAAGACCAGGTTGCTCTATCCAACCTCTCCTTCAGTACTTGCAGGGATGGAGCATCCACAGCTTCTCTGGGCAACTTTTTCCAGTGCCTTGCCACCCTCATGGTGAAGAACTTCCTTCAATCCAATCTAAATCTCCCCTCTTTCAGTTTAAAGCTGTTACCCCTTGTCCTCTCACTACACGCCCTTGTAAAAAGTCCCTTTCCCACATTCTTATAGGCCCCCTTAATTGCCAAAAGGCTGCAATAAGATCTTCCCCAGAGCCTTCTCCAGGCTGAACAACCCCAACTCTCAGCCTCTCTATCCTAGGAGGGTAGGGGAGGTGTTCCATCCCCCTGATCATCTTCATGGCCCTCCTCTGGACTTGCCCCAACAGATCCATGTCCTTCTTATGTTGGGGACTACAGAGCTGAATGCAAGACTCCAGGTGGAGTGAGGTGGAGACCTTATGACTGACTGTTTTGAACTCCTGCAGTCCCTTCCAAGCTGAATTATCCTGCACTCCTGTGAATCTATTGACATTACTGGTTTGCACCACAATTTCACCTTTTGGATTTGAATGGATGTAACTGGGAGTGGGATGTGAATCCTTTTGACAAGGAAAACTGAACTCAACTAAAGCTGAAGTGAGAAGTAGACTGTGTCCTCCACCTTTCTGCTCTCCTTCCATGGCTGACAGGCCTGCCAAAGGCAGAATAGAATCCAAGTGATGGTAAGAGGACCCTGTGAAGCTGTGTAGATTAGTTCCTAAATTTGGGAAACAGAACAAAAGAGAAAGAGAGACAAGCCATGGGTTGAAAGGGAAAGATTTGAGGTGTTGGTCTGTTGGACAAATAAGATTAGGTCAGTCTTTCTACTTGAGAAAATGAGCTGTGAGCTTCAGGGGAAGTACTTTCCTGGGGAGGAAATGGGGACCTGTTCATGCTATTTTCTACCTATTTCTTCTGGTATTGACAGCAAGGGTGTATATGAAAGCTGAGTAATTGGCTCCATTGCTGAGAGGGTTTGATGCAGACAGCACATACCCAAGAGGTCTATTCTAGAAAGCAAGAGAGGAAAAAGTGCATCTGACAGAGATTCAAGTAAAAAAGAAGATTAGTTGATACCCAAGAGACTCTTGCTTCCTCCAAGGTTTGCCTGTCCTCTAAGCTACTGGCTTGACTCATGTCAATGCTGTCACTCAGACCTCCTTTGATCCAGACAACATGGACTAGAAGCATAGCAGTGGCATATTGCTGGCCAAACAGCTGCCAGGGAGCCTCTGAACAGCAGCTGTCAAGCTGCTAAAAATTCAAATAATGTGAATTCTGGCTTCATGGTGTTCCAAAGCTTCACATAGTACCCAACTGAGTGGCTTGCTGGTTTTCTTCCTTGCAGCCTTCAGCATCATCCACAGTGTGATCTAATGGGTGAACTAACAATGGCCCAAGTAAGTGAGAAAGGTAATTTATGTACATGGACCTTTGGAAGGACTGGATGCCTGCAGATCTTTGAGGAGGAATGTTTGGCACATTCATGGGCTAATTCCACGGCAGATTGACTTGTAGTGTGTACCTGACAGGACCGTATTAATGGGAGACATCTCCCATTGCTAAATCCATGCCTGGAGCAGAGTTGGAGGCACAAGTCCTTGTAGGCACAAAGGATTTTTAATTATCAGCAGGTCCTGGACTAAAAAGTACAAAATTTTATAAAAGGAGGGCAAAAAGGTGGACTGAGACATTTCATTTCACTAGTATTCAAATATTTCATTATTATTTCAGCTTTTTGGATTTCATACTGCATGGAATAGAAGAATGTCACTTTTATGTGCCCTGACATTTGAAAAGCACTATGTGTATCTGAATCACTCACACAGGGCTGGCAGATTTGGGTTTGGAAAACCAAGCTAGGATTCTAGTTCATCAGTTTTTAGGAACTGAATATGTTTGGGGTTTTTTTTGAGCAAAGTAGAGATTGCTGGCAGGAGGGAGCATACAACAGAGAATTTCTGCAAGACCATAGAAAAGTGGGAATTTCAGGGAAGCACAGTGCTTTGTTAGTGTGTGAGCAGGTGCACGGGTCTATGTGCTTCTGACTCAAAGGCCAGTCTGGGTTTCAGGCAGTCCAGTATTTTAGAAAAACTCAATATATCAAGATAATAATCCTTGTTTTTCTTGATTCCTGGTAATGATGAGGTCAGATCTCTTACTCTAAATTCCATTTCATTCAGCCCAATCAGACCCTTTTTACAGAAGCTGTGGAGATCCTGTATTAAGAGGGAGGTATTTTCCAGGTAACTACATCCAGTGGCTGTTAGAGTTGAGGACAGAAAATAACCACCTGATAAGCAGAGGTACCTCAGCAAAGAGACTGAGGTGGTCACGCAATGTAGGATCTTGCTGTATGAAAGACAGAATTTCAGGCTGCCTAGGCAAATAAATGTCCTGGAGGAAAGAGCAGTGGCAGTTCAGAGAAGGCTGCCTTCAGAAAGGTGTTGATAGGAATTTCAAAATCTCATGGAAGTGGATTTATTTCCTCCATCTACTCCAAGAATTTTTGCCGAGAGATGAAGAGCCATCTGCCATGTAAAGAGAAGCTGACTTTTCATTCATGAAAGAAAAAGTAACAGACCTGGGTCTACAGGCTTAGTACTGGAGTGGACTGTGGCCACAGTCTAGATATTTTGATGTTATAGAATCATTAATGTTGGAAAAGACCTCTAAGATCACCAAGTCCAACCATCGCCCAACACTACCATGACCATTAAACCATGTCCCCAAGTGCCACATCTATGTGTGTCCTCATAACAGATTCTCACAGAGGCATGCTGCCTCTCCATAACCCCTTCTTTTCTGCTCATGCTTTTTGTATTAGTCCCAAAATTATATAAATGCTTCATAATCGGGGTGATCCCTTTTAATTGCCAAAAACACTTCAAAGAGAAATCAGAAGTTATGTGGTGGTGTGACAAAGAGCATCTAGAGTAAAGAATGGATTATGCAGTGTTTGAAGTTTTCCTCCAGTTGCACTTTTAGGTGGAGTTCTGTTTAATACAAGTCATTCTGCACCTGGCTTGAAATACAGACAGAGAGCATCACCACAAGTGTTCATTGGCTGCATGGTGGGACAGTAGGATGTAAAACAAGGTTTACACTAGAAATATCTAGGAAGACCCCTTCTGATCTGTGATGAGCAGGTTTCCAATGATATGAAAGACTTTGATTTGGGGGAAATTCTCTCTGCAATTCTAGGGACTTCCTGTTTTACATAGTCAATAAGAGAGCCAGGACAAACAGTAAGCACATAGAAAAGAGATGACCACCACCATTTCTGGTGAGGTCCCCTACACACCTTGTAGTGATTGCTCAGTAACAACAATGTTCTCTGCACCAGCAGTCAGCTGAAGGGCCCTGATGGGTCTGGGTGTCACCCTGAGGATGCTGGACCTGAACCAAGAGGACCACCTGACTTCCAGGCTGCCTGTGGGGAGAGAGCAGACGTGGAGGCTTGAAGTATTATCAACCCAGGGCTATTTTGGCTCTCAGTCAATTGTAGCTTCCTTTTACTCTTGCCAGGAGGTGGGAGCCCTCTGCCAGCTGGAATTTGCAGGCAGTTTTTATGTAGTGTTTAAAGGCAAGTCAGAAGGTTTGTTACAAAAGCACTAGCTTTTTGCCATGAATGAATGTTTTATTTACTGAGGTTATCCAGTTAAGGAAAAATTTAGGAAAAATCTTAATGACCTTCTGGGCTCAAGTCAACTTGGCTTACAGACTTTCCCTGAGAAAGGATCTATGTGGCAAGGTTGCAGGTGTTCTTTCTTTGGCTATGGTAGGCTGTGGCAGGTGCATCTGTGCTTGTGCAATAAATTTCCGGGGCAGTTTGACTTGGTTGTAGCATTCCGTCGTTGGAAGAAAGTCAACAGGAAATAGTAGGGAAATGGGAGAGAATTAACAATTAAAGAAGAAATTGCCACTTTATAGGTGCAAGTATCACGTGGTGGAGGGAGAGTTTCTGTTTCTTCTCAGGGTGAGATGCAGCCAATCTGCTGGTATGTCTGAGAGTAATGTACCCAAACTGTCCAAGGGAACTAGGCAGACCAACAGATTAAATAGTCTTGTAATTAGAACTGTGGGATTTTCTGGTGAACATTAGAAGGGAATGAATATCCTGTTTCTAGTACAACTGGATTCTGCCTTCTTCTGAATGTGTGGCTCTCACCTGGAGGAGCTACAGCCTCCATGATGTTCTTCATCATAGCATTCTGCAAACATGAAGCAACTGTGCTGTAGCTCATGCACGTTCTAGCATTGCCATCTTTCAGATGATGTCCACATTCTTCTGAATCAGTAAAGACCTAGAAATGGGAGTTTAGCCTCTCAAGAGCTGCTGGCAACTGCTGGCAAGAAGTCATATCAAGAAGAGGGGCCTATTTCACTCATGAAAAAATAACTGCTTTTCATAGTTTTGTCTCCAAGCCCCCAAGGGGAAAAACAGTGCTTAAAGTGAGTGGTTTTTTTGTGGTTTAGTTTGTGTGTGGGTTATTTTTGTTGTTTTGCTTTGGTTGGTTGGTAGTTTTGTTTGGTTTTCTGAAACATTAGACTAAAAAGTTCATTTTCATCTAGTTCTGTCTTCGAAGATAAATACATGGAAAAGCCTCAGATAGTAGTTTGATGGGGGTCACATGAATCAATGTGTACAAAGACAATTAGATAAGATGAGCTGTTTTGTACAAAAAACTCTCAGTAAGAAGTGCAGTCGTATCACCTCCCACCTCTTCATGCACAGCAGTCATGCTTTCAATTATCTCATTCTTTCTATGCCTTCAGAATCTTCTTGTTACTCTGGATTTCTTATATTATTGAGATAATTATGTTTTGTTTAAATGCTAATGGGGCAAGAAATGCAAACATCTGATCTGCTTTGAGTAGTTTGATGATATGAGAAAGAATAGATTCAGAAAATGAAAAATGATAACCAACTTCTAACACCTTTTCTACAGTGATTCCCTTTTTGAGCCCTTGCCTTCATTGGACACTCATATTTTCATAAATGTTTTTAACTTAAAATCCATGAGCAAAGAATGAAAAAAAAAATGTTATTCCTGGCAAAGATAATTAAATCATAATTTTCACAGGTATCAGCCATCTGATGAAAAACATTGTCTTCTCCAAGGGCAAACAGCTCAGAAGAGGGACACACAGAAGACAGCAATGGAAATGGCCTGGAAGTTACATTATTTTTTTTCTCCCAGGAGCCCTGGATGAAATAGAAACAGAGGATCTGGAGTACTACAACATCCAGTACAGCAGGTCTGTTTTGTTAAAGTTGCTCCCCCTGAGATGCAAAATGCTACCCAGTGATGAGGGTGCATGATTAGAACAGTTGGCACTTCAGAGGGGATAACAACATGAGGATGTACGGCTCAAGGACCACCACAGAGATACGTAGGAGTATTCTTCTATTGTACCCAGTAAGCCTGACCATTCTTCTGCATTGCTCTTCTGGTCTGTGCTCCACCAGAAGGGGGGGCAACTTTTTACTGTTTACAACAGCCTGGCTGAAGTATAGATTTTGAGACATCTGTAAGTGTTCACAAAAGGTGGGGGAAAAAATAGACTTCTGCCACCAGCACACAGATCCTAAAATGTCTCCTGAAAGGCTGTTGGACCTTACTTTGCTCAGACCTGAAGTGGATGCTCCAAGGGTTGGAAAAATATGAGCTTTTGCAGGACTTTTGTAAAGAACAGGAAGAGCTCCATGTTGGCAAGGTTCTCACCTACACCTGCTCTGCAGCCTGGATTGGAAAGTAAGTTTTAAAATTCTTTGCCTCCTGAAATTTGTAAACAAAGGGAAACCTCAGGCTAAATTTCCTATCTAACACTTTTGTGAATCCAGAAACTAAAATGAACAGATCAAAATGAGGTTTACTACTCCTTTGTAGAATTTTTCCTTAAAATGAAAAGGAAATTGTTACCTTAGAAGAATTCAGGAGGGCAAATATGCTCCTAAAAATAAAAACTATGCAACCACTCATGCAATTTTTTGGTTCTTGTATTATTTTCACTTTTGAGTGTTTCTCTTTGAGTGTTTCACTTTTGAGTGTCTCTAGCAGTGTCCATTTGAACACTCAGATGTTTGAAGTATCTACATTACCTGAAGCATGAACAAGGGGTTTATGTGGCACAGGATTTGTTCCCCCAGCCTGACAGCTATATTTTAAAGGGTCTATATTGTTTACCCCAGATTAGGTACCCCAGATTAGGCGTTCTAATAGGTTAATCAATGAGTCATCAATTAGTCCACACTTCTGGTCCACTTATGCCCTCCCCTGATAAATAAAAAATAAAGAACACCACTTTGTTTTTGAAGTAAAAGCCTTCATTAAGATCTAATGTTGTGAATTATTTTGGCCAATGAATTAAGAAGGCAAATGTCATGAAAAAGGAATTTAAACATTTTTTAAACAAACTGATGCAGATTAGAGCTCTAGAAACGCCTTACAGCACACATTTTATAGGGTTTGGGGATGACGTTAAAGGAAATAGCAGGACTGAGGTCCAGGTCTGAGATAGAAACTCCAGGGGGAGGGTGGAAGGTGAACCTCTGCAGGAGACTGGTGAAGAAAAGGAAGAGCTCCATTTTGGCAAGAGTCTCTCCAGCGCAGATCCTCCGCCCTGGAATGAAATGCAGAACAACCATGAGAAAGTCAGTGGGAGCTGCTCCTTCAATAGTTGGAATAAGTACAAACCTCTGAGCAGCTCTTATTCTGAGGAAGATCAGTGGGGATCCAGAACACCCGAGATGTCAAATCTTAGCTATGAATAAACAACACGGGAGCTCTTAAAAGTCTATTGAGTACAGGAAACATCCAAGAGAAGATACTTGGACTTCAGAAGTAGGATAACAAAGCCACCTGGTGATTCTTTTTTTCCTTTTCCTTTGTCTAAATGCTTGCAGAGAGAATGTGTACAAATCTGAATTCCTTAATTCTAGTTTTCAATAATATTTCTACTTTTCTTCATTTTCAGATTTTTCCTTTCCTTCATTCAATTTTTGGATCCCAGACCAACTTTAGCTGGTTTAGTCTAGACTTTGGCTCTATTAGTCTAGTCACAAGCAATTTTGTATATTAAAATTTGTCAGAAAAGACCTTGGAGACTCACAAATGCTTATTGAAGTGGGACTGAGGAGGAAGGTTGTGGGGATAATCTATGGAGCAGCTAAAATAAGTCTTTCTTCAAAAGGCTGTGAATAGACATTTTTCTCAGTCCTGGTCAAATCCAACAGCTTGTAAACTGCCTTAATAAGAACATGGTGGTTCAAGGCTAGAACTAGCAAAGACATGAACTAAAATTTCATTTTACCCCCTTTGTATGACAGAAAGTGGAAAATTAAGAGCTATTGTGTAGCTGTGCTATGAAATAAGCCCTCGAGGGAATGCCCAGACCTGACACTCCCTGGATGTGCCTTCAGCTAGGACATCCAGACATAAATCTGAAAACAGAAGGCCTGTGAACTGGAAGTATCATAAACTGCTTAATGAAAAAAAAAATATTTACTAAATTTTGGGTGTGGAGCATGACAAGAAAGAAACTTAATAAAATATCATGCATAGTTAAAAATACACAAATAGGATCTATAAAAAATGCAGAGTGTTGTGGATACGTTAGATAAGATAGCCAGAGAATGACATATAGGAACTTAATTGAGCAATGACAGACTCTGCAAAGCAGGAGAAATACCAGAGAAGTCACCATGGGCATTGGAAATGCCCATGGTCTGGCAAATGATCAAAGATTTTCTCCCTTTACTCTGCTCTATTAGACCCCACCTCGAATACTGCATCCAGTTCTGGTGTCCCCACTATAAAAGGGACATAGATCTGCTGGAATGAGTCCAGAGGAGGCCACAAAGATGATCCAGAGGCTGGAGAATCTCTGCTATGAGGGTAGGCTGAGGGCACTGGGATTGTTCAGCCTGGGGAAGAGAAGACTCCAGGGGGACCTTATCACTGCCTGCCAATGCCTGAAGGGAACCTCCAGGAAGGCTGGAGAGGGACTTGTCACAAGAGTGTGCAGAGACAGGACAAGGGGAAATGGTTTTAAACTGAAGGAGAGTAGATTTAGACTGGATCTTAGGAAGAAGTTCTTCAGTAGGAGGGTGGCAGGACTCTGGACTAGGTTGCCCAGAGAGGTTGTGGATGTCTAGAAGGCAACCCCTTTCTGTCCTTTGATTTTACACAGAATTTGGGATTTTCTATAAGGCAACTCCTACTTGTTGGCACAGTACATGAAGCCTTGATCCCAGCCAAGATTATTCATGTATTTTTTTGTAAGAGACATGCAAAAATGAGACACAGTTCCCCAGGAAACACACTGAAGCTGCCTGTGCTGTGTGCTTTGTGTGTGGTCATTGACATGCAGCTGGGTGTGGTAACAGAGACAAAAGAGCCCAAGCCATAGAGTGGTTGTGGGCTATAGGTTATAATGTAGAAATGTGTTATCTAAACCATCATGGAATTTGCTGAAAACATCCTTCATATTTAAGGCAGCACTACAAATTCTCATTTATAATCATTGACTACTAGCTGATAAACCAGTGACATCCAGAGGCTAGAGGAATTAGCAGACATTTGGGAGTGTTCTGTCTTATCAGAGGTGTGTCAATTTTTGAAAAATGAGCTGTGAACTGGTTCCATGAAGAAGACAGTGTAGAGGCCAGGCTTCAGTAACAAAAAAAACTACTGGCACTAGTGGTTCCTGTCTAAGATCGCTACTTGCCACAGTAGTAAATGGGAAAGAGAAGGCACCTGCTGAAAAAGGCATGAAAGCATCTTTCTTCACAAATTTTCCACTGGCGTCCAGAAAGTGCTCAGGGTAGAACATGTCTGGTTTCTCCCACTGTGATTTGTCTTGCAGGACTGAGGTCAGTAAGGGGATGATGTAAGTTCCCTGCAAAACAAGTTGGTGGGAGTAATCCATGGGCAAATATTGTGGTGGCAGTAATGGCAATAAAACTTCAAGACTGGCAGCCTAGAGAAAGAGATTATTCTGACTGCAGTAACATGACTTCATTAGAGAGTTCATGTTCGTCACATTAACCAGATTTTATAAAGAAGAAATGCTAGAAGAAACAATCTCACAGTTTGTCTCACCTTGGGGATGAAATAGCCTTTGAGAGTGACATCTGCAGCAGTCTCATGAGGCAAATCCAATGGCAGGATGTTGGCAAACCTCTGAATTTCATGGATGACAGCATCTGTATATGGCATCTGAGTTCGGTGCTCGATCCGTGGGGGGTTTGACCCTATCACTTGCTCTATCTCTTCTTGGACTTTTCCTGAAGGAACAATCCACTATAAGAAAGAGCCATGGACTCATTCATCCTTGAGGCATACTGTACTTTACTGGTGGGAAGTCTAAAACACCTTAAAGGAAAAACTATAAATTCTCTTAAAATCTTTTTTTTCCTTTTAGCAATAATGGGTGTGGACAGAACTGTAGAGTTTGATTATTTCTTTACCAATAATAAAAATAAAAACTTGTATTTTTCTACCTTCTCTTTTGTTTAAAGTTTCTTGTTGAGAGGTGTCTCAAAAACCCCACTTGACTCCTAACAACCTTGTACCATGAACTGGAATGAAGATGTCACACAAAGAGCAATTCCCTGATTTTTCTCAGGTATTTAAAGCTTCAGTACAGTTCATTTAACATCTGCACAGGCTTTTGGTTTTCACCGTCCAAACCAGGACATCTCTCTTAATTTTAATTAATGAGATTTTACTGAGCAAAGGACCTGACCCATATGAATTCTGTTTATAATTTACTGGTATATTGACTAGTGTGCTCCTCACTGGGTCTGAACCACAGGGCACAGCTACACCTAGACAATGTTTAGCTGGAAATCTTGGCTTTTTGTAACTTATTATCAAATATGTTAACCCTCTATGTTCCTGTTCAGTTCCTAATGCACTGAGTACAATAGCATCTATTGTAAGACCACTTACTCTGAATTTCAGGGTATTTTAGCATTAGCAGAAAGCTCCAGTTTAGTGTGGTGGAAATTGTCTCAACACCAGCAGTAAACAAATTGCTCATCAAGCTTAGCAAGTTGCCATTATGGAAATACCCATTGGTAGTGGATTTCTCCTGAAAGGAATGGTTGAGATAAAAGGATGAAAACTTAAAGCTTTCTTTGTGAAAATGTAATTTACATAGCAAACCATTTACTAAGAAATAAATCCTATATTAAAAAAAAAATATTTTTTTAAGAATAAGAAGAGCTTTGGGCTTGTACCTGGAGAAGTCTTAACATAGGAAGGAATGGTTGAGATAAAAGGATGAAAACTTAAAGCTTTCTTTGTGAAAATGTAATTTACATAGCTAACCATTTACTAAGAAATAAATCATATATTTAAAAAAAATATATTTTTTTAAGAATCAGAAGAGCTTTGGGCTTGTACTTGGAGAAGTCTTAAAATAGGGTTTATATTTTGCATGCTCTCTGCATTTACTGGGGCCAGCTGCAAAGAAAGCTGGTTTCTCTATGAAGAAGGTAACCCAGATATATCAGATATTTCAAATAAGGACCCAAAGAAAGCCCAGGTTGTGCTTTTGTTCTGTAATGCATTATGTTTTTGAAAGAGCCAGAGGGCTAGGACAACCGAGAGAGGAGATAAAAAGATGGAGCCTCTGTAAGGATAATGATATAGTCTGAAGAAAAGCATAAATAAGGATAAATATTTGCTGCTTAAGAGTTTGGAACTACAACAGAGTGGAATACCTCTTCAGTTCTACCAGTTTTTTGTATCAGTTTTGTCCAAGATAGATTCCCTAAAGAAATATAGCTGTAAGGACTGAAAGGAAATTGTAGTTGTCTTCATATAAGCATAAAAACTGAATTAAATGATAGAAGATGCAGTTACCTCCTGCTGTTTAACGAGGAAAGCATCAATAAAACTCCTTTGATCATTTCTGTCCAGAGTTTTGAGATGTTCTAGAAAAGTAACTTTTACATAAGCATGGAATTCATCTCTGTTTCGGAGGAGAGTTTTGTTAGCCCTTAGTAGGAATCCAAGACTTGGGAAGAAGTTGTACATCTACAGGAGTGAAGGATGTTAGAGTGAATTTATCAGCCAAAAGGTCTGAAAACACTACAGAAACAAACTAATAATATTGTGCCCATTTTGTAGAGACAAAGACTTCCTGTTAATATCTTGTTCTTTAGAACATGAAAAAGTGACTGGACAGATTATGGTAGAATCAAGGACCATTGAATACAAGGAAAACTGTCAGTCCCAAATTACTGTTTGGCTGTAGTATACGTGTCAGACTCAAACACCTGCAACAACATCTTTTTATTGTTTCAGCCAGCCCTTCAGTTGACTTTTTTCTCTTTTTTTTTCTGTTTCAAAGCCTAAAGGAACAGAAGTGAATCTGGTGTGTGGCAGCATTGCATGGAAGTATCAGAGAGTATTGATTACTCATTGAGACATTTCAGTGTACTAGAAGCATGGGAAAATAAATTTCATACCAGGGCTCCTTGCCCAGGTAGACCACATTCTCTATAGCTTCTCCCTGCCCCATGTTCTGAGAGTGTGCTGTTTTACCTGGCCACTTCATCCACATGAACTGTATTTTTGGGGAATGCTGAGCCTGCTGCTCATGCACAGCTCTCCAAACTATAGCTTAAGTACATTTTTGAGAGACTGGGGGTTTGATTGTTGGCTTCAAGACTCCCAGACTCTCTCTCCAGCTTTGTTTTGCTCCAGAAAGTGCTTGTAAACCTATTATGTCTCAGAGTCTAAAATTTTTCTGTTGACTAGAAACTATTCACTACCAGTATTACTGTGTTCTGTGGAACAGAAATATAAAGTTGTTTGTCATTACCGCAACCAAAGGTTTCCCAGCAAGCCTCATGCTTTCATTGGTCAAATGTAGAAGTCTCATAAATCTGGAGTCTTCATAGTCAAATCGTTTGCCAAGTAAAATTGACACAATTATATTAGCGACTGCTGCATTAATTATTTTACTAGCATCAAAGGGCTTTCCTGTACAGTGAACAAAAGAATATATTACATTAGTGGCAAGAGATGTTATTTGAAAGTGCAAATTTAACATCAATTATTGCTATTTATTTGTTAGAATTAATTGCTATTATTATCACTCAACGTCAGAATACCATGCCAAGACAAAAACATTCATCAAAGTGACATTTCTTAAAAAGGACTGAACTTGAGAAAGTTACTGCAAGCCTCTGAGTACGTGAACAAAGTTTAGGGGTTTGAAGAATGAATCATCTACCCACCTTCTTGGGACCCGATGATGTCTGCCAGATGCCCATACTCCTCCACAATGCGGTCCTCAATGGCCTTTTTCCCCATTCCAAAGTCTCGTAAGGCTGTGAGAGTGAATCTTCTCATCACCTTCCAGTTTTCACCATGAGCAAAAACAATCCCTGGCACAGAAAGAACATTTCAAGGTGACAGAAGATTTTAAATAACTAATCTGTAGACAAATAATGTAGATGTTCAATAACAGTTACTTTTAAAATAAGCTAAATTGCATCTTGCTGAGATAAAACACAACTTTTCATGAAGTATTTTCAGGTCTAGAAAAAAGAAAAAAGAAAAAAAAAGATGATAGAATATTTGAGAGGTACTTAATCAAATTCCAAGAATAATATATATCTCTGAGAGATGCTTGTGATTGAAAGAGAATATTGAAAATTCAAGTTGCAGCTGCTGATCATCATTCTTTGGAAGTGAATTTGAGCTGAGATCTCATGGCTTTGAGGACTGCAGGAGAAACATAATTGGGCATAAATGTCTCAAATTTTGGTAGCATCTTAAAACCTTCTCAGTCATGTTTTTCAAAGAAATTGTTACAATATGCAACTAATGTTTTTAGTTACATTCTTTTCAAAGAAAAAAAGTAAAGAAATCTTACATACAGTAACATAAAAAAAAACTAAAGAAAGCTTACATGCAATAATGTGACCAAAAGTTGTAGTCAAAATGTTCTCAGAATTATTCCTGAATTTGTCCGAGGGTCTTTGGAAGTGTAAATATGAAACTTCCATCCAAAAATAGAATGAAGTTTGGGTGTAAATTTCTCGTTTGGAAACCCACCTCAGTACACAGTATTTCTTTTATTAAAATAGAGCCCAAATTCTATATATATTTCACTCTATTGCCACATTTAGGTTTTAGAAGCATCACCTGACATGAGAAGTAGTGATCCAATGTTGGTTTCAGGAGAGGGAGGGTCTACGACAATCCTGAAACACCAGAAGTCCAGAACCATATCATGAGACCTAGAAATAACTTCCCTGGCATGCATGCCTATGTTCTAGATCCTGAAAGTGTGACACTGTCCATTATCTGTCGCTGTGGTTACTGTTAGAGTTATGGTCATTTTGTCACTCCCAGTTGTTTCAGATTTAAATGCATGAACTGAGGTCAATGAAATTCCTCCCTATTTCCAGTGCCTTATATGGCTGATGACCCAAAGTGACATCTGCTTCACCTGTGGGGAAAAACGTTTTGAGTAAGTCAAGTTGATAAAGAAAAGTAAAACCAACTTACCATTTCCTCTGGTCAAATCTTCAAAGATTGGGATTTTAGGTCTCTCTGCAAATGCATCTGCCTGATTTACAAGAGCTTCCTTCACTGTCTCATACCCAGAAATGACAACTACTTTCCTTTGCCCCATCTGAACACTGAAGACTGGACCATATATTTTTGACAGCTGTCGGAAGAAGGTAACAGTGATTTGCAGCTTTTACAGCTTACAAACAAATTCACCACCCTTTTAATGCTGCTTATTTTCCTGTCCTGCCTCTTAGTTACTAAAATTTTCCTAAGTAATTGGAATTGATTTAAATGATGTGACTGTGCCAGGTATTATGATGGATAATTCCTAAATGGCAGTCAGGAGTGGAGTCCCATTGTGCTAAACCAAGCAGAAATGTTAACAGCTGAAACCCCAAGAGAGTCAAGGATTGTGCTGACAGTTTTGTCTTCATAGAATCCTAGAATTGTTTAGGTTGGAAAAGACCTTTAATATCATCAAGTTCAACTGTTAACCTAACATCTCCAAGTCATCCAGTCTTCCTTAAGAAATTCCAGTAAATTGAATTTTTGACTCATGTTTTCACAATGATCTTTATGTTTTTGTGTTTAATTTTTTACAGACTAAATCTGTTTAAACTATTGTTACCATTGTTGTTTTAAAAATCCAGTGTGTTTCTGGGCCAGGATCTAGCACTAGGTAAACTTTCACTTGTTATATATGACTACATCCACCATGAATCTGTTTCAGAGACAGTGTTTGTCCTAAGCTGATATCTTTTTAGCTTGTACAAGCAGATTTATTTTCATATAACTCAGTGTTCCTGATTCTCTTGGCAGTAGGGGTTCTCCTGACTACACTGATTTTGTAGTCTTTTTGCACAGAGCAAACTCTTTTTTTTGCACAGAAGCAACTCTTTAGAATCAAGAAGCAAAATGTTTAGCCACTGACAAGCAAGCCCAGACAACTACATGAAATAACCACAGTGACATGTGTCTGAATTAAGAGTAGCTTCTCTGATGGTGCTACTCTTATCCCAGACTGCTGTAGCTGTGGCAGAGTATGATCTTTCCAAAGGGTGTTCTCCAGTAAGGACTTTCTAGTGCTTCCAGTGGTGATGCACAAGATGAGCACACGGTCTCCAGTTGCATTTACACACTAAGTATGTGTGAACATTAAACCTTGAGCTAAGCTCAGGTCAGAGAATCATCCTCCTCCGTTAGGATTACAGCACAGACATGTTTTAGTTGACCTGAAAAGAGATGGAGCTTGCTTTTGCCAGCACAAATAGGCTGCATTGGATAGCTACAGTGATTTCCAAGTACTGCATCTGAGCAGTCTTTTGATGTAAAATACATACAGATATACAGGTGCAAATCTTGCTTTTAAAATCATCAGGAAGGAGGATGTATAATTTCAATACTTAAGTAGAAATAACCCTAAGAAAGGAGCAGAATCACAGAAGTCTTCTGACTCAAAATCAGGAAAGCTGTATATAAACTAGGTCAAGAAAGCACTAGAGGAAAATCAAAAGATGTATTACTTTGATTTGCTTACATCTTTACTGTATGTTCTGGCAACAGTTGGCCCTGCATATTAAGAAAATAAAGCTGCCTTCAGTTTTTGGGGAAGAAAGGAGAAGGTGAGAAGAAGGGCTGTTAATCAGTGAAGGTGGAAAGCTGCAATCACAACTTCAGACATCAATATGTGGAAGGTATTAGAGCATGTATCAAAATCACTCCTTATTCAGTTAGAGCTTTCCCAAAATCACCACAAAATTAAGGTGAGCACTTGTTATTATTTGAGAGTTTATTATTTGGCAGTATGTGCGATTAGGGGTCCAGTAGAAAAGATGACTACCTGTAGATAAGTCCTGTAGGGTCTCTTCAAATCAAACAAATGCAGATTTCCAATAATAGGTAGTGCTCTTGGTCCTGGAGGAAAATTCTTCCTCTGGTGGTTACTCCAGAAACCTCTCATTTTCAGAAAGGAGAGAAAAATCAAGAAGAACACTAAACCAGTGGAAATGAAGCTGCTCCAGTCCATCTCTATTCAGCCAAATATCTGACACAGAAGAGAAAATGTAGACTCTGGTTCTTTGTCCTCCGGCAAAAGCTTCCTGTGAGAGATGCCTGTGCTAGTCCACAAACCTCTCTCCCAGTGAAGGGTACGTTTTTCTTGTGATTGGTCACTGGTTTTGCTCTCTTCCCCCTGTGCTTGTTAATGAATCCTCAGTATAGGACAGTGGCAGGTAAATGTTTGCTAGCCAAGTGCGTGTGACTAGGTCACTGTCCAAGAATGAAAGAGTCCAAGAACATGGAGGATCACAGGTCATCAACCTGGTGCTTGGTATAAAGGTCATAAATATTGCAGGCTCTTCAGGTTACTGATTTATTATATTTTGATTATTAGTGCTAGCACAGCCTTGATACTCTGAGAACTGAAATCAGAATGCCAGAATGCCAGAGTGATGAGTTGCACAGATTTTTTTTTTTTTTAAAGCTTATAGTTCTATGTCAAGGGTCAGGACCAGACTGGCCACTAAAGGAATGACACATGCTGTCTATTAATCCCCCTCCTTTTCCAAAAGAGAATATGGAGAGAGTCTTATGGATTAGAAAACTAAAACAGCTTTAATGAAAATAACAATAAAATGGAATACTTACAAACCCAGTATTGAACACAACCCTCCTGCTGGAAGTTATGTCACTGTCACTATGGATGCTGTGGGAAGGCACTGGGGAAGACCGGTATTATTGTCAGATGGGAACCAGATTCAGAAGCTGGATTCTGGAACCAGATTCAGGAACATACAGATCGGGTTTGAAGGCAGAACAAAGTTCTTCTCAGATGCTGGCCATTGAAGAAGAAGCTTGACCCTCATGATCCCTCAGCTTTATATCGAATATGATATACATGGAATAGAATTCTTCCTCAGTCAGTTTAGGATCACCTGTCCTGTCTACTCCTCCTTGCAGGTGTGACCTTTGACTTTCTGCACCCCCACATGACACACAAGATTGAGCAGTGACCTTGGTCTGCAGGTGAGCAAGCACGAGGAAGAGCTTTTCTGCACACACCAATCTTCAGTAGTAACTCTAAACACCAAGTGTTACCACTCCTAGAAGCAGACACTGTCTGTGAACATTTAACTTCAGCAAGTGGAATTACTTAGAAGAGATGGAGCTGAGGAGCAAAATCCCTGAACAGAATCAGTTCTGTTCTAACTCAAGCCAGGACATTCTGTTTCAATCAAATTAATTGGGAGTTTTAAATCGCATAATCACAAAATAGTTAAAGTTGGAAAGGATCTTTGGAGGTCATCTTGTTCAACTCCCCTGCTCAGCAGGACCACCTAGAGCCAGGTGCCCAAGACTATGTCCATTCAGGGCTTGAGTATCTCCAAGGAGGGAGATTCCACACCTCCCTGAGCAACCTGTGCCTGTGCTCAATCACTCTCACAGCAAAAAAGTGCTTCCTCATGTTCAGAGGTAATGTATTTGTTTCAGTTTGTGCCACTTGCCTCTTGTCCTATCACTGGGCACCACTGAAGAGAACATGGCTCTGTCTTCTTTGTACTGTTCCTTCAGATATTTAGAGATATTGATAAGATCTCCCTGAGACTTCTCTAGGCTAAACACTCCAAGCTCTCTCAGCCTAGTACAAATGTTTCAGTCCCTTAACCATCTTCAGGGCTCTCTGATGGACTCTCTCCTGTATGTCCATGTCACTTTTGTCCTGGGGATCCCAGAACTAGACACAGCACTCCAGGTGTGGCTGCACCAGTGCTGACTTGAGGGGAAGGAGAACTTCTCTTGCCCTGCTGGCAATACTGCTCTTAAGTCAGCCCAGGATACCATCACTTTCTTTGTGGCAAGGGCACATTGTTGCCTCCTGTTCAATTTGATGTCCGCCAAGGCCCCTAGGTCCTTTTCTGCCAAGCTGCTTTCCAACTGGGCAGCCCCCAGCATGTACTGGTGCCTGGCATTGTTCTTCCCCAGGTGCAGGACTTTGCACTTCTCCTTATTGAAATCTGTGGTGGTTCTGTCAACCCATTTCTCCAGACTGTTGAGTCTGAATGACTGAATGACTGTCCACTCATCCAGTCCATTCATCGACAGCTTGTCTATGAAGATCTTAGAGCAGGCAGTGTCAAAAACCTTACTGGAGTCTAAGAGTACTTCTTGTGACTAAAAAGCTACATCAGAGCTGTATGAAAAAGAAGTTGCAGAGGCCTAAGAGGTGCCACAGAACTGGTTTGCCCAGTTCCCCCTGAGAGCACAACAATGCTTATTTGTCTCAGGCAAGGACATGTCCCCAGAAGCCATTTCAAGGGTGAAAGATCTTCCCAGATTTGAAGGCAACAGTGGCAACAGTTTGATTTGAAACAGAGAAGGATTTTTTTATTACTCCTTGTTTTTATTGTCATCATTAATATGTACATTATTCTGTAGCAAAGTAATTAATTTGAACTCCCATTTAGCATAAAACCACCTGACATCACCTGAGAGCCCTCTATGCGTCTGCACTGCAGTTCTTCACCAGGTGAACACCTTGTGTTTCCTTCTCTCAGGCTGAGCTGCTCAGTTATATTTCTGTGTGTACATCTGCATCCAGGGCTCTGGTGCAGGGACAAATGGTGTCATGGACAATCTTCACTAGGCAGTATGGCTACAGCCGTGATGGAGGTGTGGAGGAGGAACACCCGTGGATTTGTGTGTGCGTGGACATCAGTGCAGTACCTTTTGAGGTCTGGCCCAGAGACTGGTCTCAGTCTCATCAAGGAGAAAATTGTAGGGAAGGACAGAGTGAAATGGACTTTGCTATGTCCCTGATGAGATTTGTCCTCATAATGGCCATCACCTTCCCTTTCAAGGAGTGACTGGAAGTCAGGACTGCAACCTGCAATAATGGTGGGAGAGACACTTCCAGCTTTAAGCCAAGGTGAGGCTGGGCTAAAAATCCTCTACTGGATTCAGAACTACCAACTTTCCATGTGGGACTAGAGACACAGGAAGTTCATCTGAGTGTTTCAGGAGAAGAAGATGGCTAAGAACAGCCCTAGTAACGTGGCACTGCACAGAGCTTATAAGCCACTAGACGGGTGGTGATCCTGGTGGAAAGAGAGAGGTCCAGATCTGAGATGGAAACTCCAGGGGGAGGGTGGAAGGTGAACCTCTGCAGGAGGCTAGTGAAGAAGAGGAAGAGCTCCATTTTGGCAAGAGTCTCTCCAGCACAGATCCTCCGCCCTGAAACAAAATGCAGAATGGCCATGAGAAAGTCAGTAGGAGCTGCTTTTGGAGAAGAGGAGAGGAGGAGAG